CAGCATTTTCATAGGATTTGCAGAATAGTTTTATTTCCTTTTGGACAGAAATATATCAGCTTTGGGTTAGGTTTTTCTTTTCCTCATAAGGAAATTCTTGAAAGTCCAACATTACGTCAGGTTGAATATTAGAACTATGTAGTCATTTTCCTGCTTCTTACACACAAATGATAAAACCTAAGCTACTTAGGAACAGGAAAACCCCTTTCAATTTGCAGTCTGAAGTGTCTGGTCTTTGGGATTTGTTTTGAAAACTGAAGTTGAACTCAACTTCTTAAGCAATTTCCATTATTTCATTCCCTGAAGAAGTGTTTTTGTGTTCCTGTTTAAATATAAGCTTTAAGATTGTTAAGTGAGGGTCACTTATTTTTCTTCTAAATTTGTTAAAGTGTATCTTTTCAGTTTCTGCTCAGTAAAATCAACTTGGGTATCTGTTCAGAATGGCAGAGATGAACGTGTACATTCTGCAGTATTCAGCACTCCATTTGAAGACCAGGTCACTTTTTGCACCTTCATTTTGCAAAAGCAGCGGCAACACTGATTACTCCAAAAGAACACGAAATAAAATGTAATTTATTCCTACAAATTATTTTTGTTTATGCTAATCTCGTATATTTATTTACATCTAGAGCAGGGCCAAACTCTGAAACAGATGCCTGAAGATTTTTTTAAGCTGTTTTTATATACTAGGAAATTCTAATGTATTTTGTATGAAAACAGATGTTTGTGGCTAAATAAGCCTTTTTGTTTGCTTATGCATTTTTTTAGGAAAAAAAAAGATCAGTTTAATCTGTTCTTAAAACTTTGAGCCTGAAAAATGGAGAGGTTTGGATGGAAGGATTTGCTGGGCCTTTGTCTGAAATGCACCTAGGTTTGCTTGTCTGTTAGGGGGCTGCTTAGCATTTAGGAGGGGGAAAGCTGTTCTTTAGTTCAGGTATGACAATGTGCAGTACTTCATATCAATTATTTGGCTGATTGCTGGAAGTGCGTTGGAGAGAGGGGGCATTGGCTAGTTCTGGCCTTCACTAATGGGAACATTTCAGAATGTGGATGAGTAATTAAAGTATAGAATGCGGAAAATTAGGCCAAAATTGAATAGAAATGAATAAGTATGCGTTCTGTTGTGCAGATGTTGGAAACAGATTATTTTGGATGCCTCTTTCTATCTACATCTTATTTGGTTACCATGTAAAAATCGGTCATACACCATGTAGATTGTTTCTCTTCCCATTGCCTTTTCTGTTTTTATGTTGTGATATATCTGTATAGGTAGTAATTTAGCAAAATATCCTGTCTGCCAGGTGTGGGAACTAGCTGATTGTATTGTAATACCAGATCATTACTTAATTCATATGCAACCTAGCCTAGCACATGGAAAGCATTATAAATCTATTTACAGTGTGGCTGGTCTGATGATAACATTGTATTAAATTCCCAGGTGAGGCAATTTAAGCAATTGCTTTGCCATGTGTAGGCCATGGAAATTAACTTCTCGTGTGCTTTAGTAATAGACGAACTTCATTGTTATGCTCAGATTAGTAGTGTAGCAGAATTCTTACAGTCTGGTTACATGTACCCTACTTCACATGTAGAATCATACAGGGGGGTGGTACTGCAGATCACAGATCTTAATTAGTTTAAGCTGAGTTAATTCATTTCAATTCTAATTTAGCTGTGCTTGCCCATGAACACATTCAGTTCTATTGGGAAATGTTAAGGCTTGGGTCAAGTAGACAGATTGTTTAAAGCCAAATTGCCAGACAGAACTGAGCAAGTGTATCTGTTTGAACAGGGCTTTAAGAAAATCACCCAATCAGTATGCAAAAATCCTGTTCATAAACCAAGAGAGATCTGCCTGGAATCAGAAATTCCTCCTTGTCAGAAGGTCTGGGTAATGTAGTACATTTGAAGCAGCCCCTGAAACTTTCTCTGTCTTGAAGTTCTTCTAGAAAGTAGCTTAACCCTTCTGTGTCGTTGTGTGTGTGCGTGCTACACTTGACTGCAAACATGGACTTAAAAACGCTCAAGTGCTTAGACTTTTTGTGTATATATATATATACAAGAACACACAAAATACAAGGAAAACTCTATATGACAGACCTTTATGGACAAAGAAACCTGCACACAGAAGCTCTTAAACCTATATTGAGCTGCCCAGAATTGCCTTGGATTACAAACCCTGTAAAGCTTCTGTCTTTTCTTGCAACATACATATAAAGTACCAGTAGACAGTGGTAACTGACAACGAAGACTAAAAATGTTGACAATTTCTTGATTTGCCTGGTTAGCTTATGTATAGAAGTCATTAACTATTTATAAAATGCATTATGAATTGGGTTCCTTCAAACTGTAGCATAGTGTGTGACATTTCCAGCTCAAACTATCATTCTTGCATTTGGCTAAAGTACATATTTATAAACAGCTGATAGGTATGAATTAAAAAAAAAATCTAAGAACTATTGAATTGCTGAGTTTGGACAAACTGAACTCATTTTGATAGCCACATTTAGAAGTGCTAGCCAATATTAGTTTAATAAAAATAAGAATAGTAATTCAAGATATTGATATTTTGGACAAATCCTGAAAGAACAAACGAACACTTTAGTTCAAAGGCCTTTCCTTTTATATTATTGATTCATTTGGTAGTGAAACTGTGATCAAAAGTAGTATCAAATTATTTATTGATTATGGCAAAGAGTTACACCTAATTGTAGTCAAAGGGTTATTTCTTTTAATATAATTGCTGATTTTCAGATCATGACAGATTATTGCAATAAAAGAACAATGATACAAATATATTTAAGTTCAGTGATGATGATATAAAAAATTATGAAGGACCTTTAAAATTGTATTGCTATTAACATTTATTCCTTTTCTGTGAAGAATATTCTTTTTCCGTTCTGTCATACAGTCTCTTATGAATGAGAATGTCAGCCAGTTAAAGATTTCAAATAGATAGTGTGTAACCACGGACCATCCCAGTCTCTACATGCAATTAGGCAACTTGTTCACTGGAGAACAAGCTCATGAAGCATCATGCTCCTCATCTCAGTCTAATAATGATAATAAATTCAACCCTAACAGAATCAATGGGACTGAGTCATTTTGTGAAACTGGGAGAGACCGTGCGGTTGAACTACTAAACCTCAAATGGGAAGATTGAATCTTAATCAGAAAAGAAGATTAGATATTTATTGGTATATATTTGTAATTTCCTTCCTTGTTTGATGTATGTCAAATCAAAATAGGAAAATAATATAATTGAGCAATCTATGCCAATTTGTTGGCTCTTTGGTGAAAAAAGAGAAAAACAAAACCTATCTCCATATGATATTCTTGCATACTGTGGAGTGTTTTTAGTCCCCCATAGTGATGAAATGAATAATTTAAACAGGCAGCTCTGATACCACAGCCTGTTTAAAGGTTCTCATTTCCTTTAATGCTGTAGACTACTTTAGCTTGGTTAGTATGAAACTGTGACAGCTGAGATCTCCAAAAGATATGGCACAATTCCGCTCTTGTAGTAGGTCCATGGTATGCTTTGTCCTTGCTATGCAGATCAGTAGCTTTAGTATATAATCTAGATCTGAGCACAAGCAAGTGAATCACAAATTGGTAAGCATTGTAACAATGATCATGGTAATAAAGTGTGAACTAGACAGGATGAAAAGCTGAAATGTGTTGCAGTGTGATGACCAATGCAGGCTTACTCTACTGCTAGGTTCCTGGCATTAAGGGGTGACCCACTTCCAAACTTTTTATCACAAAGGTAACGAATTTCCCTGCGCTCAGTGAAAATTCTGCTGGGTTGTTTCCTGTGCCCCAATCCCATGCATGTTTTTTTGGAATAATTGCCCTATTGGGGAAGGTTTAAGGAAAGATTTGGTTTTGTTGAGTTCCTGCTGCTAGTGACTACCACAGCAGAGTGTGGGGGATGCTCCCGTCAATAAAGGAAGGTCCTACAGCCTAGTTCTTCCTACTCTTGGATTTCTTCTGCTGATGAAGTATAAAACTGATCATTACTACACTCAAATATAAAAACATTTTAGACAATATGTTTAAAATCCATCCTTTCTTTCAGTGGTGAATGTTGGAATATTAACTGACTAAGGCCCTGTGATTTGGCTAGCAGAAATTGAAAGATGGACCGATGTTCTCTTTATGGACTTCCCAATTGTTCTGTTGAATGTTGTGCCACCTTGGTAGTCTTCAGACATCTGCTTACGATTGCTTGGCACTGATCTAGTTTATGATGATTGGTTCATGAGCAAATCTGATGCTCACAAGCTGTGAATAATGACTGTCTGTCATAACATTCTAATGCATGACTGCCTCAGTTTTGTGGTGTTTCCATGAATTGCTGTAAACCAATGTTTCCTTCTACTGTTGCTTTCTATCCTTTCTTTTGCCCCTTGATTTCCGGTCCTTTCCCTGTATGCCTTCATAACCTCCGCAGCACAGGAAACACTTGTTAATTTTCTATGTTTTTAAGTTCAACCAGTTTTGTCAAGTGCGTGCTGTTGAGGTTTTGGGATATTTTTATATGGGAAAAGCTCAGTCTTCCTTTCCTATTTAGTGGCATCACTGCAGTGTTACGCTGAGCTCTGCATCCTGCTAGTGAGCGCTCTTCAAAAAAATGTATCTGGTTCCTACACGTGTTTCTTCAACACTTCTGATGTTCGTGTATATTGCTTGGCAAGGTTACCGGATTATCAGAACTGGGATCGCACATTATGTATCTTGAGCTTCACTGAATCTGCTTTCATTGCTGAAATGTTGAGGATGTGACTGCCTTAGAAGTGCTGAGGTTTTGCCATGCAGATTTGTCACAATAGAGCAGTTGAAGAACTTTTTAATAACTTTTACTTGCAGATTTTTTTTTTTTTTTTTTTTATCAAATAGGTATCCATTAGGGGGCTCTCGAGGTTTAAGATGATCAGCCTTGATACCAACAGCTTCGGAGCTTTACTTCCTAACCCTTTTTTCTTTTTGTTTTACAGAAAAGGTCACGGATCGCCTACAGTGATGAGGTGCGGAATGAGCTCCTAGGGGATGATGGGAATTCCTCAGAGAACCAGGTAGGATGCTAATCAAACAGCCCTGGTGGGTGGCTGGAGGGTGAAGGAGGTCACTGGCACACTGGGCTTCTCAAGCTGCTCCTTAACAGCATTAGCAACAACTCATGTGGAAGTGATACTGTTTAATGCAAAGCTGGGGTCTTAATCAACTTCAAAATGTTTCTTGGAGATCTTACATTTAACCCTTTAACTTGTGATCACTGTCTGCTATCTTAAAAAAAAAATCTTTTCTTCTCTTTTCTTTATTATTTAGTACTTAAGAAATAACTTGAAACGCGCTGTTTGCCGACAAAGCCAAGGTCTTCACCTCAAACACATGTAAAAGGAATAAAAAAAGTACATAATGCAGCTTTGATAATAATGCAGTATAATTAAATCAACACTGGCAGGCAAAACAAATTAAAGTGCTTTCTCAGAATTAGGCAGTACCCCACTCACTTTCCTTGTGTGATTCCTTCCCTAAACAGATTTTCCTTGTTCCAAAAACACAAGTTGTACTCATAAAAGCATGTGTTCGTAATGCATGTTGTGCTAGAATGCAGAGTGCTATCCCTTTCTTTTAATGAAGGAAAGCTTGATAATCCTGAGGCTTTTTTAAAATCTTGTATCCGTATTGGTGTTCTGGACACTACAGTGAGGATCTACTAGACAACTGAAAATTATAAAGGCAACATGATATTCAGGGGACCTTGACCCTCCTTTTCTGAAGCAGAATGTTGTGTTTCTTTTTGAAAATTGTGTCGTGTAATCTGTTGTGCATTTTGAGTTAAAGTTAGTTGAAAGTTATTTTAAATACCAGATCTTCTTGTCTGACCAGATAGAATTTAAATTATTTTAGTAGTGAAAGTGAAGCTTGTTTAAGTGGTTCCTTGGTAAATGCAATATTAAACAAGGAAATGGAACAGAACCATGTTCTAAAATTTTTAGTATGTTCTACTCTTAATACTAGCTCAGCTGCACTAAGGATTGGAAAAAAGAAAGACTCACAGACTTATCCCAGTACAGTGAATTTTAAAACACAGACTCTGTAAGGCTTAACCTTATACAGTATTTTAAATGTGCTGTGTAAGTTTTAAACTCTGTTACAGACTTTAATACATACATTAATGAAATTATACACAGGGTACAATCTGTAGACACAAGACTGTAGTGCACAGCAGCTCTAATATCTATGTGAAGAGCCAAATTTAAAAGATACTAACCTTCTTATTTATATATTATAGCAAGGGGCGATTCCAAAATCTGAATAAAATAAAGAGGGTTTTTTTATCCCTATATTGCGAATTTATGGAAAGGATGATTTTAGTAAAGGAGTTTCACAGTCTGCATGTCATGACTGTAAACTCAGTCCTGTGGAAGTGTTCAGATTCTCATTTTATTTCTTTTAAGGCGCTGCTATTTTTACATTTCAAGAAAAAATTGTGTGAATTCAGACATAAAAGGGCAATTGTGATAAGAACCTTTACTTATAACAGAATATCTTATGTGTAGGGATGAGATAAAATATTTTATTTTCACTTTTTAAGGAATGGTTAAATAACTGGTTCACATGCACTTTTTGGGAGTTATGATCTTTTTTTCTAAACTTGATGGAAGAAACATGGTCTTGTCTCAAGGAACCAAATGATACCTTCACCATTTTTCAACATCAGTTTTTTCTTCCAAATGGCCACTTCTTAAATGGAAGAAAATTTTTGGGTGTTAAAGGAATTTTATGTAATTTTTTAGGTAATCAAAATCCTTTCCTATAACCCAACTTGAAATTGTGACCCCTGTACCTTTGAAAGTTTGGAATTTCTTTCGTCTTTGAATAGTGTTATGAAATATCACCATAAAGGAGTCATCTAACTACTTTTAAATACGTGTATGCCAGTATTTTTAAAAATATTATTTATTGTGTTGTTCTAATAATCAGTCTCACAATTTCTTTCTCTTATGAAATACCATTATTTATATTTGTATGTATATGCATGTAGTTATGGGTACAAGCAGTTACTGCAAAAACCTCAGTCTGTTCTTAGAGCTTATCAGAATGTACAGCTATCCAAATCAAGTGTAAGGTTGGGGTACTTATCTACTGAACATGTTACAGAGGTGTATTTAACTCTGTCATCCCAGGTCTAATGTACTTTCACTCCTATACATTGTTACATCAATAGACAACTTGGACTAAATGATGAAAGGACGCTCAGGTATAACAGAAACATCTTCAAATATTTTATATGTCTAATTCTTGCTTTCATTTTGTCTGATGGAAATAAATATAGGTAGATGGACTAACCCTCACCTTAATACTGCAGGACTTTTACTTCTCTATCAGTTTGGATTAGGTTAAATTAGTTAAACCAAAATATGCTGGGTTATCCATAATTCAGTCACCAAACTGTGAAAGGGGAGGAGATGGGATGGATTCCTCTTCTGACAGAAGAGCTGTTGGAAAAGGTTGCCAGCTTAGAATTGCTCCTGTACCAATCCACAAATATTGGTAACATCTGCCAATAGAAATGCTGAATATCTGATTAGACTGGGGTGTTACCCAAGGGAAATGAGATGAGCTGCATGTTTTAGGTTTGGACTTTGTCATCATGATAAACATTTGCATAATCTTTTGGGTGCAGTGAGAACACAAAGGGATCTTAATGTATACTGGCTAGTATGACCATATTAAGTATCTAGAAATACATGAGGCCCTATTGGAAAAATAAGCAATTTGGCTCTTTTCTTTATGCAACTTCTGGTTTTTTCAGTTGAGTTTCAAAGATACAATTACAGCAAACCACAGCTAAGTTACATGCTGTAACGAATAAGGTCATAGGTATGAGTTTCTAGGTGTTCTCTTAAAGAGAAAGATTGAAGTATGAAGAACAGATTGAAGGATTGTCAAATGATGACTTGCCTTTAGTCGTCTTTGCTTTTCAAAAGGTCTTCAATAAGTAGCTGTCATCACGGGTAGATGACAAATTAGAGTGCATTTGCCTTTATAATGATTATACCAAGATTTAACTAATTTTACCAGATAAAGCATATGGAAACTTCTTGTAAGAAGTTGTAGGAAATACACAATTCTGCTATTCAAAGTTTCTTTTGAAATAAATGCTTCCTTGTTTAATGAGATAGGTAGTGATATAGTGCTCTCAATGCATTTTTGGTTCAGTGAAGCCATTACTTAGTGTACATTAATTTCTTCTGAATTTGAACTGGGTGAACGTAGTCAGAGGGGGCACATAGAGGTTGAGAATCAGGAGACATTCCTTCTCACATCCAAAAACTCCACCTACAAGCACACAGCCAATCCCCCACCCCACAAAAAAAAAAAAAAAAATTGTACTGTGTACATTTGGTTGATATTTATTTTCTGGGAGTGGTCTTAAATGGACTCTGTTGCTTTCAAGTCTTATCTGTCATTCTGGCTACCAGTGTTTCTCAAATGCCTTGAAAGTTTTGAGTTTTTCAGTGCAATGATACACTATTTAAAACTGGATCTTCACTTTAATAATCATAGAACTGTTTTATGTGGCGATTCAGGTGTTTTTTAGAACCCATATGTTGGGTTAAATCAGAAATCCTTCTTGACTAAAATAATGTCAGGTTCAGTATTACCAACTTTCTTGAAATGTAATCATATTCCTCTTTCACAACCACATTCATTAATGAGTTTAAATAAATTCGCATTAGGTTAAACTGCCTGTCTGTATACGCATACACTGTATATGTGATTTATGGTGAACAAATATTTTGTGGCTACTTAATTTCTGACTACAAAGTTGTGATAATATTAGATTTGGGCTTGCTGTGCATAAAGTGTGTCAAACTTCAGCTACAGACCGGGGGGTGAAGTTGGTCAATTTAATTCCCCAAGATCTAAAGAAGGTCGGTATCATTTCATATAGCCCTGGCAGAGCAGATCATTACCAGACACAAATCTGTTCGTTACATGCCGAGGGTTTATAGCAAAATAAATAGACTGTCATCATAAGTTCAGAAAATTGTGTGTTCGACCCACGATAATGTGTAAAGGGCGTTTAATAGAGTTCAGCATTTATTCGTTATCTATATGCGGACAGAGACGGCGGTAGCGTTATCAGCTTTTTAAAAAAAATTCGGTAGTTTTCTGTGTCACGTGACATGCCTCACAGACACACACGCACACACACAGGCACACATCCCACCTCGCTCTCTGCGGCGCAGTTTTGATTTTAGTCACAGCAGAAGGCTTAGCCACAAGAGATTCCACTGGTTCAAACCAGTGTAAACCAGATTATTTTTTTTCAGCCTACAAAGGAGTAGATTACCTCTTGTATCGAATTCTATATTGCAAAAAAAAAAAAATCTTTGTTTCAAAAATATGCTGATTATCATAACCTAAAATGGTGGCTGCACACTGCTTAATGCTGTTTACAGTTGGCTGATGAGCGTAATAAAAATAGTGGTTTAAAACAGAAACGTGAAGGTAACACATTTTCATCAAGAGCATTGTTAAATGGGGGGAAAATACATCTTTTGTTAATTTGAATGAATATCTTTCAGCCAATGTTAAAAAAAAAAAAAACCCAACCAAACCCCTCTCCCATTACTTAGCTGCAAATCCCATGCAGAGCTTAAATTCAGCCATGCAGCACAAACAAGATAGAACATTTTTGTTTGGGACCTATTGAAAAAACAAATGTGCAGCATTTTAAAACTCTCATTGATTATAGCAGGGTGGCATGCCCAAACGGGCTCTATTGCGGGAGAGTCGTTTTAAACTTTGGCCCTTTAAGTATCATAGCCAACTGAAGAATGGTGGCCTCCGAAAGAAAAGATAGCTATGTGATCGACTCCCAGATCGTCTCTTTCTAAAGAGCCTTAATGTTTGCCTTTTTGGGGAAAAAAGGGGGGGAAGATCTGGAGAAAGAGACCAATTTATGATAGGCCAAGCACTTGAATCCAAGCGTCGGTTTGGCGGACAATGCGGTTTTCTTTATACCAAATTCTAGCGAAGTCCCTTTGGCTGCGTGCTGGAGAGCTGTTTCAGTTTAAGTCTGCGTGGCAGTAGCCCTCCTAATTACACCTACTCAGGGCCTCGTTGTCCGTTTTGGTAACGGGGTGAGGCGTACGGCCAGTTTTAGACGAGCCATATGAAACAATAGGGAATAATGGAGGTTCTTTTGTTTCCTTCACGCTGAGGAGACTTTAGTAGTAGTAGTAGTAAACATGCTCAGCTTACACACGTGTTGAAAATTAGTGTTACGAAACTGTAGGTGAAGTATCAGCATAAACTGAGATAATGATGTAGCTGTTGTAATTTCGAATTCAACTGGAATCGGTGAGAGACCTGTAATTCTTTATAAAGAGTCACTCTTACGCAGGCATTTGTTGTGAGTAATTATACGTTTTGTTCCAGTACAAATGATTTATCTCTCTCTCTCTAAGGGGAGAGCATATTGCAACATACCTTGATAATCAGACTGGGGTTTTATTTAGTTTTATAGTGAACCTGCCAGAGCAATATTATTAATAGTGTTAGGTTGTGTTAATTTACAAGCATAAATTGATATATATAAATGTATATACTCTAGAAGTATACACACATATACACGCTGCGTGTGTATATATACACACACAGTGTAGTGGTCTAGGATTAAGAACCTGGAATGGGTCTTTTCTGAGGGAAATGTATTTCATGTTGTTCCCTATTCCTTTGTCTGTTTTTAAATATGCTATGCAATAAATAATATTTCTGAGCCATTTGACTAAGCTGCTGCTTTTTATTATTTTTTACTGGAAAAAACCCTTTCTATGAGGTTCGATAATAATTATTAGATAATATAGTTACATTAGAACTCAGGTATATAAAAACTGAAGGACTGGTTACATGCTATAAAGATGCAGTCATCTATTAATAAGTTAGATCTGCTAGTAAAATAAGAAATCAGTTGTCACAACTAAAATACACAGAAAACATTCTGAAAACTTGTATATACAAAACCACTTCAGCTGTACAGTCTTGGAAGAGAGGAATAGTAAACTTGTTTTTTTTCTTTATAATATAGACTTCTATGAAGTCATTCCCCTTTATTTCATGATGGTGTCTTAGATGTGGTTTAAAAGAGAATTTCACACTATTCTCTTTGTTTAATGTGACAGTGTGAGAAAGTGATCTTTATTCGTTCAAAAAACTCTGCATGTAGTCTATGTTTAGGTTCTTTTAATGTGTTTGTCTGTGATTTTTAAATGCTAAACATGTAAACAGATAAATTGTCAATGTTAATTCTGTATCCTGTCACACAACTGATCTTTCTTTCCTGCCATTTCTTTCCTTTTTATCTTTTTTGTGCGTTCATGTTGCAGTTGATAAAATTACGTGAAGAGGTGAGTACTTTCTTGCTTTTTGTTGTCTAGCTTTCCCTTTAAAGCTGAGTTTCTAAATCTGAAGTAGATCTTTTTGTTCATTGTTGCAGGGAAATCTACACAAAGCAAAAATATTGATTACATTGCTTTAAAATATTCACTGTTGTGCCTCTTTTTCCCTAATAAATGTACACTTACATAGGAATCTCTAGATCAAACCTTAGAAATTAACATTCTTTGATAGTGGAAATTTTTTTAAAGGCACTAGAAAAAGAAGGAAGGAAAAAACCCCACTATTATTTGATCTCTGCTAGAATACCATGATCAAATCAGGTGCAGTAATAATCATGTTTGCATCACAAAATCTTTGATAAGGTAAATACATTTATACACTGGTATTGAAAGTGAAAGCCTTGCTTTGGTAAAAACCTGTGCTGAAACACTGTAAAGATTACATAGTATTTCACAGTGTTCTGAGTTTGGTGTGAGGTATTCAAGTAGCTTGTGTATTATATTGGATATTGTATACCCACTGAAATTATACTACAGGTAGACCCATGCACGCATATCAATATTTATTATTTATTTGTGAGTGCTGTAGATCTGTAGCTGTAACACTAGAGATCAGTATTCCAGAACACCTTTCTTCGAGTTATAAAATGACTCATAAATATTTAGAGTGAGAAGCCTGTTTTAATGGTCAGCCCCTCAAATGTTTCAGTATATTTTCTGAAATTAATCTCCTCTGTTACTTCCTGCTGTAGCAAAGCAGGTATCTGAACTGCCTTTTTTATATTATTTCCAGATAGCTGCCAAAAAGGAGGTCTCAGTAAAGTCGAGATTACTTATAGGTCAGGTTTCTGAAGGGTTTCGTATGGAGAGTTTGAACCAGTGAAGTATTTGAATAAATATATTTAGAAGCAGGAGTATTTTAACAGCATATATTTGTCTGGTATCTTCTTTTTGAAACATGTGCGCCCAGACTTATCAGTAATGAATACTGAGCTCTGCAGGAAAGGATTTGTAAGTTTTAGAAATGGTGATGACAAAGAATTGTAAAGTAACCAGATTAAGGACAATTACAGAGAATTCTTAAAAACAGTAAGTTATTTGTGATATAAAGATTCTTTGACTAGTTCCCTGAATGCTTTATTTTCCCTTCTTCTTTTGGAGCTGATATTAATATGTTAAAAGTACAGAGTAAAAGAGTTAACAAAAAAAAATTAAACAAAATAAACATGTAACCACATGAAAGCCCTCCCACCGCTGCTGAGCTCCCCTCCCCAATAGTCCCAGTATTTAAACAGATGACAATATTGTTGCAGGGGCTTGGATAGCCTGATTCCTGAGATTTTTTCAGTAGAACAAGGTTCATTTGCACATCCCTTTAACACCACCTGCACGTTTGGTCCTGTGCTTTTGTAAAAGAATGTAGTAGGGCCACTTTTGCTTGCAGACATAGATTATAGTTTTATAAACACAGAGATACCTAATTTGTAAATTTACTGAGAATTGAATCTGATGTGAAGAACAAAGCTGCTACGTAACTGCTCTTCTTTTTGAAATAGCTATGAAGGCAAATAAGAAAATTCAGGACATTAGTACAGAAGGCTGCAACTTGGGAGCTATACGGAACTCATTCATACCTTTTGGAGCTTATAAATCCTCTTTGTTAGCCACCTAAAACATTTTGACATTTCTTCTGGTAATTTTCTTTTTTCTGTTCCTTGCCAGCCTCGTAACTTACTATTTCCTCTCTCTGCGTATTGAGAGAGCAGCAGCAAATAGTACCAAATAAAGGGATTTATTGTTTTATCTAGATCAAAATTGTACAGGTAGAGAGAGAAATAACTTAAACCCCAATTGTTAGCATTCTCTGCGCTTAGGTACAGGCATGTGTCGGCTAGGTTGTAATTGCAATGGTGTTTTTATGCCCAATGCAAAATGCACATTAAAGTTTAAATGAAGGTTAGTACAGTGACTCAGGCATAATTCTTAACTTGTCACATAGTGAAACATCAAGGCATCCCCAATTATAGTTCTCCTAAGGAGGTATGAACTGATCTTAAAAGAAATTGCAGTTTGCCATACTGTTTGTTAATAAAACCTGCGCTTCCTCTCATTACAGGGCTCTATTCTAGCATGCTTGCCGTACATGGCTTCCATGGAGGCTGTGTCGCTCTGTCTTTTGAGCTCCTGAGATCTCAGTTTGAATCCAGCCCACATGGAATGACTAAATCTCTAGTGATAGTGTGCTGCTTTGCAAAACTTCCTTATATAACTCCCGACAGAAGCTGTTTCTGAAGCTGTGAGATGCTCTGAATCACCTCGCTACCCACCTCACAGAGAGCAGGGGATGCTGTGGGAGAAGGGGTTTGGGGAGGGGTGGGAAGCGGTTGAAAGCATCGGCTGCTACTACAGGGCATTGGTTTCATGACCAGAGGACGGGGTGCCTCCAAACACTGCAAATAACACTGCCATTTATAATAAAAATGATGCTTCATTATGTAGTGGCTTGGGTGGGAAGGGTCTGAAATCGGGTAAGAAATAGCGCTGAGTTCGGTTAGCCCCGAGTTCACAGGGCTCTGGTATTCTGATTGCTCACAGTACGGCTGAACTGAACTGTAGGCTTATCATTTACTTAGATTAAATGCGGCTTGTAGAGTATGTAAAAATATACCGTTAAATACTAATTCTTTCTGTTGGGTAACTCTTCCGTGCTGTAATGTGGAATTTTATTATTTCCCCCCCTCTCCCTCAAGGTAGCAGGACAGCCTTTTCATTTCCAGTATGCCACTGCAGCGCTATACGTCTGTTCTGTAATTACAGTGTTCTACTCCCTGTGCTCGCTCCCAGCCTATGATGTTGGGGTTTTTTAAAGTATCTCCTCTCCAACTTTTAGTATTCTTACCTTCTAAACTCCTTCTTTATATTTCCCCCCTCTTTTTATCTCTACTTTTCTTTCTTGAGAGACATGTCTGTAAAACTGTAATACTGTTAGGTTTCTGATGTGTTTTACAAAGTTTAAAATATTTAACACTGGTTGTTCTTTAATATTGTTCGGGGGGGCAGTATTTGGAGAAAAGCACTGCAGGCATATGCTTTTTTTTTTTTTTTCTTCTAATGGGCAATAAAGAGGAACCAACAGATGTTATGAAAAGGTGCCTTTTAAAAAAAATTAAGCAAAATTAACACTAATTTCTTGGGGCTTATGGTCAATGCAGATACAGGCATCACTGTAGTTGCTGTCATGATTTCAATTACAGCATTGTAACTTGATGTTTTAAATTTTACTACGTGCTTGTGCTGATCTTTTTTTTTTCTCTTGGTGGCCTGCCCCCCGTGAATGCAAAAGGCATTTTTTTTTTTTCAATTCACTCTTAACCTATCCACTGTGTATTAGACGACTCTATTAATTATTATAGACTGTTATTGCAGCTTTCCTGACCTTCACATTGGGTCCTATCTATGCTGATCTAAATGCATTGTTTTAATGATTTCCAAAAAAAAAAAAAGAGAGAGGGAGAAAAAAAAAAAAGAAAAAAAATTCAAGGCAAGCTTTGATGTGGCTTTAGCTGCCTCGATCGTCTGGCCGCATCTCAGAGATGTGTCACCTATGCCGGGAGGGAATAGGGAAATCACGTTTTGAATGGTAATGATAACATACTAATCACTTCCTTTCTTTGAAGATAGAAGCGAGATATTCTGTCAGCATCCCTGGCTGCTAGAGCTTGGAGGCACTGGTCTAGGTGTATTAGCTTAAGTGTGCATGTCAATACAGCTTGCATCTCCCAAGATCCATAGGGGCTCATTAGAGCAAGGTAGATCGTTTCGGTAGACAGCCACTCAGATAATATGTATGGCACCTCCTTTTTTTATTATTATTAGAAAGCATTTCTTCAATTTTTAAATGACATCTGTCAACAAGGCAAAGTTGTAGCAAATATTTTTTGACAAATATCCAAAATGTTGGTTTTGGATAAGGGGTGCTTGGAGAGGTGTGTATGACCACTTGGGGGGGGGG